GTGTGTGTGTGTGTGTGTGTGTGTGTGTGTGTGTGTGTGTGTGTGTGTGTGTGTGTGTGTATTCCGTTGAGATTCAGCGCGACCGTGCGTGAATAATACCGGCTGATTTCGCTGATGAGTAATATAGAAACGCTTCAAGCGCCAATGTGATCTCATAAGCGCACGTCGCACAGCGATAACCCATACGCTACAAACACACACACGACTTTAATTGTGCGTTCGCTTTTACGTGCTGCACACGTACAACGTACGCGATTTCATATTGAAGCGAGAATCGTATAGGCTAAGTAAGTTGCTTGCAGAAGTCGCGGACCGCCCGCACAGCGAGTGTAGTTTATGACCGAGGATTCGAGACTATATTATCTGTTTACGGGTTTAAGGTGCATTTCGTGGAGCATACAACATATGAAGGAAACCTGGTTCTCTTTAGAAGTCGCAGACCGCTCGCAGTGTGCGCGTGGTTTATGCCCGATGATTCGAGACTATAGTATCTGTTTTTAAACTATATTAAGATCCCGCCAGAGCGAAGCGTATAGGTAAAGACAGCCGAGTAAAGATATCGCTTTCAAACTTCCACGTCTTCTTCTTCGTCTTTTTCTTCGTCATCTACTTTATTTCTCGCGCCCGTGAAGTGCTTCAGGCGCTAACAAAGGAAGGATACTCGACACGCGCGCGCGCAAGCGGACACTCTACGCCAAGAAGAAGCCGGCAAAGGAGAAGAAGAAGCACTGTCTCAAGACCGTCAAAAGATGAAACGCTAAACGAAGGCTGCTCTCCTTCGCTGCTGCTGCTGCTGCTGCTGTGACGCACTCATCGCCATGTTAATTACATTGCGGCATGAAAAGCGAGTGACTGCGAGAGCTGCCACGCTCGTTAGCTGTCGAGTGCTAGTGTGTAGGTGGTATGGATCTATGATGGCTCTCTGTGTGGGCCGACGACCTTCTTACAGTCGCATCTCTCTCTCTCTCTATCCCCCGCGCGCACGCGACGGACGCAGCCAATGCATTTAATTAGAGGAAAGCGGGTTAATGCGCCATTTCCGCAGCGATTTTTCACGTTTCTTTTACGGCGAGCATTTTAATCTTGTTAGGAGGATTTCGGAAATGGTGATCGGCGCATGCGTTTCGTCGGCATCATTCGTGAGATTCGACCCATTTCGGTTATTGGGAAGCGTAATGCAATTCACTGTAAAAATATGCAGCGCGGTAATGGCATAAGCGATATGAGTAATTGCAGCATAATAAGCAGTTCGGATGTTGGTTCGAGCGACTATTCTTAAGCGGATATAATCCAAACGTGCGATATAACCAGTACAATATTGGGCTTGTAGTGCTGCAAGAAAATACCGAAACCATTCTTCAGTATATATATTGTGTGATATGGCATTCTTCTCATGTGTAGGCGGTAATGGACATATTTAACCTACTGCCCTTCGCTGTTGTTTCATTTCTAATTTTGTATCCCACAGCTTTATCCCCATTTCTCTCTTCTTATATCTGTTTACCTCTCTGTGCTTTGCGTACGAACCCAGTAAACGTGTGTGTGCGTGCGCGCGAACGTGCGTACATGCGTACATGCGCGTGTGTGTGTGTGTGCGTGCGTGCGTACATGCGTGCGTACGTGCGTGCTTGTAATCGTATACGTTCGTACGTGCATGCGAGCTTGCGTGCGTGTGAGCGTGCGTGCGTGCGCGCGTGAATGCGTGTGACCGTGTGTGATTGCGTGCGTGCGCGAACTTCGAGCCGTACTGCACAGGCACGCATATAAAATAATTTCCCATCCATGTTTTGTCGGCTGCGATATATATAGCTGCGGTGCAGAATAAAAATAATATACACCGAAATTCTTCTATTTCTCCGTCTTCCACTCTTTTTTTTCTTCTTTTTCTTCTACTTCTTCTATTTCTCGGTCTTCTACTTTTTCTTCTTCTTCTTCTTCTTCTTCTTCTTCTTCTTCTTCTTTCTCTTTTTCTTTTTTTTCTTCATCTTCCTCATCTTCCTCTTCTTCTTCTTCGTCGTCGCCATCCTCTTCTTCTTCTTCTTTTCTTTTTCTTCTTCTCTGGTCACTACACTACACTCGACCTAGCCACGGCAGCACGCACACAGACACAATGTTAGCATCGACAGCTCGGCATCCACCCCTGTCCTGCCTGCACGGACTCGTTCGCTCTCTAATCGCTGTGCCATCTCGCTCTTGCTCAATGCTAGAAGCAGCGTTTCCTGGCTTCACGGCAGTCGATATACGATCCACGGGGTCGAATAGCTAAGCGGAAATGACGCGTGCGAACATTCAGGGCCAACTCGATATTAACACGAGACGTTTCCCACCTTTCTCTCGCGTCCGCTTTAGAAAAGCGCACGTAGATTTGTACGGGTACGTGATTCCGACACCGAATCTTTCGCGAGAGCGCGAACGAACAATGATGAGCAATTCACCTGAATCCGGTGTAGTGTGTTAGGTCCGGTTAGGTCGGTTAGGTCCGGTTAGGTCGTGCGCTGCTGCGCTACGCTTTAATACAAAGTATGCGTCAGTTTCTCGTGCGTGGCGTACTTTTTACAAGGAGATTAATTTTACATGGCACCCAGCTAGCGACGGACCAGCTATAACGTTGTCGTTTTTTTCCCGCAGAGGTGTTGATATGATATGGTCAGGCAGTAGCGCGATACATCGCCATTGCTTCGCAATTTCCATCAATCTTTAATGAAATTCGTTAATTAGCTGCGGCGAAAAAACCGTGGCTATCGTGGTTTGATGTCACCGCACGCGCTATTTCTCCACGCTCGACTGTCGCGTGAAAATCGCGAAGTATGAATAGCGTAATTAGGTGTCCGCACTGATTAAAATAATACAATCTACACTGACAATAACTTGTCGGACATAATAACTCGCCGATGTATTATTTGCTCGACATTTAAACGTCACTTCGAATTTTCCGCGAACAGTAAAACGTTTTCTATTCTCTCCTGATTTCTCGTGTGCGAAATTTAATTATGAAATCATAGAAGCGAAGCACCTGTAGCCGCTGTACATGCACGCGAACAAATGAAATCATGTGAATTCAGTTTTCACCGAAAGAGGCTCATGAGTTTTCGCTCATCGGCGAAACTCCGTCTACAATTTTGCGTCGATTATTCGACCTTTCGTGCAATAATGTGAAATCATGCCTTAGCTTCCACTCGAGTAATTCTAAGAGCGATTTGACGCTGACTACCCACGACATTATTTAACGCTAGCTGAGTGTGATAGGGCGTGGAAGCTAGCTGATTATTGAATGATTTGACGCTAGCTGAGTGTGGTAGGGTGTGGAAGCTAGCTGATTATTGAATGATTTGACGCTAGCTGAGTGTGGTAGGGTGTGGAAGCTAGCTGATTATTAAATGATTTGACGCTAGCTGAGTGTGGTAGGGTGTGGAAGCTAGTTGATTATTATATGATTTGACGCTAGCTGAGTGTGGTAGGGTGTCGTAGCTAGTTGATTATTATATGATTTGACGCTAGCTGAGTGTGGTAGGGTGTCGTAGCTAGTTGATTATTATATAATTTGACGCTAGCTGAGTGTGGTAGGGTGTGGAAGCTAGCTGATTATTATATGATTTGACGCTAGCTAAGTGTAGCAGGGTGTAGTAGCTAGCTTATTATTGAATGATGTTATTCTAGCTGAGTGTGGATGAGTGTGGAAGCTAGCTGATTATTGAATAATTTGACGGTTTGGTTGGTTTGACCTTCATCTAATTGTTAATTGATTAAACGCCAGCTAATTGTAGGAGAATTTGACGCCAGCTAATTGTGGAATGATTTGACGCCAGCTAATTGTGGAATGATTTGCTAATATATTCTGCAAGAATTTTAAAAGCTGGTTGATTATTGCATTATTTGGCTTTAGCTCATTGTAGAAGGGTTTACCGCTGGCTATTTGTTGAATAATTTGACGCTAGATTATTCTGGAACAATTTAAAAGCTAGCTGATTATGTATAATTTGGATTTAGCTAATTGTAAAAGGATTTGACACTAGCTAATTGTAGAAAGATTTGACGCTAATTTATTCGGCAAGAGTTTAAAAACTAGTTGATATTAGAATATTTCGCTTTAGCTCATTGTAGAAGGATTTGACGTTGACTAATTGTGGAATGATGTGGCGCCAGCGGATTATTGAATGGGTTGACATTAGCTGATTGTGTAAGAATTTGGTGACCCATAGTTTTCATCTAACGGCGATATTTGACTTTTTACTGCAGCTTTTGATAATAACAATTGCTATAAAACACCAAACTAATACCGAACCACGCGCTGGCCCGTGCAATCAAAACCTAACCAGGGCAAGCCACTCTCAGTCAGCTACGAGTTCTCACTATTTACACTCAATTATTGGATTGTTGCGTCGGTTTTATTCGAGTGGTAAAAATGCATCCGGCATCGTTGTTATTGCGGCCAACAGCAGCGTGCGCCCATCGTAAAACAGACCAGCGGACAATATTGCCACGATGTGCTGTTTGAATAGCGTTTTACAGCGTTTAACGTAATCATCAACTTCATCAGAACGCCGGCGATAAAGACATCAGGGTTAACTCAGCCAATTACTGACGCTCAGGGGGCTTTAGTGGCGAAAAGGCAGTAGTCCGCGGAATTCGCACACGAGTAGCAGATCGACGCCAGGTGGCGGTACTAGCAGTGCGAGACGTGACTAATGAAAAATTCACATCAACGATAGGTGGCGTTACTAGCAGTGCGAAGACAGGTGGCGTTGATCGCAGTGCGACACGTGGCTAATGAAAAATTCAGATCGGGTTGTTTCGGGCATGTTCGATCTATACGGATCAGCATTGGCGTTTTACTGTAAATTGTCTATTTTAATAGTGTCCGTATTTCACACCGGCTATTGGGAATACATACTATGCTCTATATATATATATATATATATATATATATATATATAGATATATGTATATATATATATATGCCTATATATAGGATAACTATAGGACCTATACTAGGCTGGATGGGAAGCAAGCCAGCTATGATGTTTTACGAGCCTGCGCGTATCAGTGGCGATAGATCACTCTGATCGCTCTGACACCGATCTTCTAAGTCGACCATTATTGTGTCTAGCTCACCGCCGACCGCAGGAATTACGCATTCACGTCGCGGCATCGACGGTGGCTTGCCATGCAGGGAACGCTGGCATGTGTAGTGGTCCCAGCCGCCAGATGGCGCTGGGCGTTAACAAGGTAATTAGCGTTCCCGGCCGCTAAACGGCGCTGGGCGTTAACAAGGTAATTAGCGTTCCCGGCCGCTAAACGGCGCTGGGCGTTAACAAGGTAATTAGCATTCCCGGCCGCTAGACGGCGCTGGGCGTTAACAAGGTAATTAGCGGTGCGGGGTCGCACGCGACCGAATACTTTTCTCATCAACTAATACGCGAAAGCGAAGATTGAAAGGACGCCCGCGCGCTGGCGTGAATCGCCATGAGCATCTAATGAGCGTAATGTCGCACGTAAGATATGATATTACGGCCTCGCCGAGCTAGATTGGTCTCGCGCTCGTCGATGGCCCGCGGGGATGGGGCGTGAGGACGAGGATGGGAGCGCGCACATCGTGCGTGCCCGCA